TGACGAAAATGAAACATTTGGGACGCGCATCTTGAGGATGCCCTTGCATTTCGCTCTCTCACCCCGAAACGCGACACAAACGACGACTTGGATGGTAATAATCCCAGAAGCGTGTCTAAATTGGCGATTACATTGACGTAAATCGACGCAGAGCTAACGCTGTGAGAAACGATCAGAAATATTTTATATAAATTTTTGTATTGCCAATTGAAATATAAAAACGACAGTATATGAAATTTTTGGTACGGAATGTACTTATTTACTAGGATTTTACAGTCTGATCGTTGGCGGATTTTATCAATCGGGAATTAAGCTCTTTACAATGCACGCAGGGTGCCCTCCTCGTCGATGTTGTTCAGAATTCATAATTCGCGAATAAAAAGGGAATTGCCTAAAAGAGTGGAAAGTACGGCTGATAGATGGAAAAATGATAAAAAAGCCGCTATTTTTTTGTGGATTACATTATTCAGCGTTTCGGAACTAACAACGATTGTAACAAACTGCGTTATCCAGTGATGCAAAATATCTCTTATGAATTTTTTAATGGTATGCTTTTTTCCGCGTCGCGGCTAATGAACGCTACCTGTACTCGGTGACCGAGTTATTAAATATTGGAAGCACGTAACAAAAAGCGCAAAAACCCATTTCGATATAAATATGAATTGGATGTGGAGAAAAATTACAGGGAAAAGTCCTCTATATAATGCTGGAGATAATTGAATAAAGCGTATAAATTTATCTAAAAATTATCCAAAATAAAAAATTATCACAGTTCAGTTTTTGCGCGCTCGCATGCAGACACAGTATTAATTCTGCATAATAGAAATGTTATAAATGATTAATTATGTTATATTTCCTGTAATTGTTTATTTATATTATTTCTCCATGATATGGTTAGTAATTAGTAATTGCCAATACTATTAATAATAAATAATATTAATTGTTAATAACAGACAATGATAAATGCGAACTAAGAATAATGCGAGATGACATCAGCCCAATAGAGATTATAATAATAATCTCTATTTCTTAAATATTCTGAAACAATAACATATTATTCGCGAATTCCGTGTCGAATTCTGTACGCATGTTGATGTTTTCGAAAGGAGATGCAGGAACTTCGAAAGGCTTTCTATCTTCCTATGTCTATCTAGATGTACACAACTGAGAACTCTCCGTCCCGAGATTCGATGGATTACGTGCAGGAAAATGTGGCTCGGGGCCAGATACGGAATGTCATTACGTCGGGTAACGATAGGTACGTCGCAGCCATTGTTGGATTGCTTCAGTTGAACATAGAGCCGTGTGTGACTAGCATAAGCGATCTTTTCCTTTTTTTTTTTAATCATTTTGCATTGTTTAAATAATAATGGTAAAACAGCGTACTGAATTTTGCCGCCATGTTAATGTTAGATTTTCTTGAACTACACGCCTTTTGTTTCTTGTTCTAACAACAATAATAGAATTGAACATTCGAACATTGTTTCCTCGATTGTTGGTCAAATTAAATTAACATTTCAATGACATTCTCAAAAAAATTGTTTACATTTTATAATCGCTAGACATATATTTAAATGTTTTGAGGAATTATTTCATAAATTCGCGTAAGAGATAACATTATCTTCCAACATAACAACGTTACATATGTATGTACATATGAAATATGCGTATAGCAGTATTTCTAGTTGCGCGATTTATCATTACATACAAAGAAATTCTGGCACAGTTTTCATTTGATCTTATCGCGTTGCATAATTTGAAAGAATTATGCAATATTATGTTCCGCTTAATAAATCTTGTGTTACGCATATTTTCTCGCGACGGCAAAGCAACAACTAAACACGAGAACACGATCTGTTTTATCGTCAATGACGTAACTACGATTCTATACTTACGGTGATTATGTGGCAGAGTTATATAAACATTTTCCTGCATTTTTCATAATCGTGTGATCGCCATACGATGGTTTAGAGACAATGTACGTTTCGAACGTATAATCTTTACTCGCTGCGCGAGCTCATCAAGATCAATTAGAGCAGTATAGTCGAGCCATCGTCGTCCGTTAACGATATATCAATTACAGCGTTAGACGTAGGTAATGACTATTAATGACTTCATTCAGAGCGCAATAATTACATGATGTACGTCCGCGTACTTGGGGACAGATCTAGGTCGGCGCTATTTTCCACAAGAGGATGACAGTTTTATCGTGTTTCGGTTATCGACACATTCATCCTGATTTACGATTGAAATAACACACCAATAAAATAATGCGACATGAAAGCATTTTAATCTACCAGAATATTACTAGCAAGATCGTGTTTAGTTATTGATATGATATTTGATACATACTCAATGGGTCAAACATGTTTCTTAATAACTTTTTAATAATCGAACGATACAAATTGATTCTTGGGACAACAAAAAATATCGAGAGCGATTTTAATTATTTTCAATTGCGTATACATTGACAATTTTTTTTATCTTTTTTTTATATTTCGTTCGTTAGACGAATGCTTTTTATATCGATTTCTAGTTCTATGTAAAAAGACACTAGAAGAGTACAGGTATTTTGCTTCTTTGACCTGAAAGCTATCTAATTAACTTTCAATGTCATTTAGATGGTACATTAGATAAATATCTTTTTCCCGAGGTATAGAATCAAAAGTGCGATGCGCATTTGGTAATATCACACATGCAAGGTCGCGTGTTCGAGATGCGGAAAGTTGCCTAGGATTCCCTGGAAGCAATAGCAAAAATGTTCGGGTAGGTCTTCCAAGAACTCATAAATCACCGGGAGCAACATCCGGTGTTCGCGCGTGGAGACTACTCTAGGTTTCCTAACGAGAGGGAAGGAAGAGGTGCAGCTCATGGCATAGAAAACCCACCTCAAGTTTCCCTTTTATAGGCAAATAATGGCGGCGTCGGGCGATAAATAGCCGAACAATACGACAGACCGTTACCTGCTCGCGACGGAACTGCTCGTGTCGAATCAAATTGACAGGTGGTAATTCCCAACGAAGACTACTTCCGTTTTTCTATCGTCTACACATTGAGGCGATGATCCCCTAATAATGACCAGCCATGATTCAGAGATGGAATTTATCCCTTTTACCACTCTTACTTGGACGTATCATTTTTCTTTTTTTTTTTTGTGAAGGTGACGATATTTTGTTACACGATCCCTTGAATGTTAAATGTCCTCGTTAAACATCTTTATCTATCATCGCAGAATTGTGATCGATTGCTGAATCGAAGAAATATTCGAAAAAATAAATCAGAACCAAATATAGCCAGTAATGGGCCAGTAACCAGATTCCTAGTCAGTTATCAAAGCAAAAAATAAAGGCTGTAGCAATTTTCTTGCTACAGCCTGCTTTATTTTTTTAGAATAAATTATGTATATTAGTATTAATGATTATGTGAATTGTTTTGAATAAAAGATTACTTTTTTCACACACTGTATTTTTTTTTGCCATAAATGTTGACCTACAGCAAGCTCATTTTGTCTCGAAACTTTTATTTTAAAAACATATAATTAATCCAAAGATATAATATTTCATATAACAAGAAGTAAAAAAGATATATATGCGAGATATCTCGTTCATTTTCTTGAAGACGAAGAGAGCAAGAATCTGAGACTGATTCTAATGTTATTTTAAAGCTATCGTGAACTTCAACATTCGAGTATATCGTCATATGAAAGGATAGAGAAAGAGAGAGTGAATGAGGGGGAGAGGAGAGGAGAGAGAGAGAGAGAGAGAGAGAGAGAGAGAGAGAGAGAGAGAGAGATGTCGAGCGAGAGCGCGATGTCAAAACACAATTTGAAAGACGTAATTCGAAAATCGTCGTTCGCCCGACGGCAGCGACCCTCCGTCGGACGTCAAAATGAAATTATGCGACCCTCCACAACGGGGACCTTGGGGCAGGCACAAAGGCTCGTTTGCCGAGGACACAGTACAACAATCTGTCTAAAGGGACCTAAACCACTAATCGTTTCGCGATTAACTTCCATTAAACGCTACTTAATGAACAAAACTTTCCTTCTACATCGTGACCAACCGCAGACGATCTCCAAGACGTTCTTATATGTGAATTAAGTTCTTCGTTTTAACTTCACTGAATACTCTGTTCGCGTGATATTTTAATAAAATGATTGCTTCAATAAGAAGATTTACGATAATCGACAAAATGTTTTCATAGTGTAACGTAAATCATTTATTAATATAGTATAATTTTACGAGTATTATATTGCGGTATTCGCGAAATGAATGATGGTACAACACAAACGATTTTTCAGTAAACTACACCAACGAAATATGTCTTCCATATGGGTTCATTGTTTAGCCACGTGTTAGCCAGTGAAATGAAGGATACATTCTCTCTTCTGGAAATTTTTTAAATGTTTACTTTTTTAAATTGCAATCAGTCTTTGTTCGCAGTATTATTTAAGAATTCACACGTGCATATTTTAATATTAAATAATTATCGTGTGTTGCTATAATGATAATCCAGTACTTTCAGTATCGCGGATTCAACAATTCGTATTTGTTATTAATGAACCGACGCTCTCGTAAGAGTACGCGTTGTACGAATATTGGTGAGAACTGTTTGTTGATTTAGTGCGTATTTAACGTCATTGAAGGAGATTTGAATGCAAATACCAGATATCGACTGGCACATACGAAATATTTCATTGTTCCGAAAAGTAAATATATTCTATTAGTCTATTAAAGATAATATAAATACGTATAACATTTCACCGCATTTAGGTAAAGCGTACTTCATTAGAACCCAATGTGTATTGATCTATTTATTCTGTGAAAAGAGAATTTTGCAATTTGAACGGGTTTAACCATTCGGAATTTGGCAAGCTATTTGACAGAATCGTGAAGAATGGAAGCGTGATTTTGATTCGAACGATTATCAATCCTCTCAGAAGTCTGTCCTTTTCAATCAAGGAAAAGACAGGAAAGAATACGATTAGTTTTACGACACACCTGTTTTTCGCTGCAGCAGCGCGATCCCTCTGCCTCCTATTCTTGAACCAATTTCCAACTTGCGTCGGCGTGAGTCCCGTCGCGGCGGCCAGCTCCCTCTTCTTTCCTGGATTCGGATAAGGATCCTGGAGATACCATTCTCGGAGCAGTGATCTGGTTCTTTCTTTGAAGCAATGCGTCTTCTGTTCGCCATCCCAGATTGTTCTCGGCAATGGGAATTTCTTTCTTACGCGATACTTGTCCACGGGTCCCAGCGGCCGGCCGCGAAGTTTTTCAGCCTCCTGGTAATGTGCCTCTAGCCACATGGCTTGCAATTTACCGTGAGAGTCCTTGGTGAACTTATGCCTTTCAAGTATAGCGTAAAGCTCCCGATAATGTCCCGAGTGAAACGCCACAATGGCTCGCGCCCTGAGAACAGCCTCGCTCTGATTCAGTTCCTGAATATTGGGATGAGCGACCGGAAGGCTCCATAGGAACCTGGCCAGCCTCTCGATGTCGCCGCTTTCTTCTAAGGTCTCGCAAACCGTTGCCACTTGACTGACGGAGAAAGATAGAGTTGGCAAAGCAAGATAGGGACAAGGTACAAGCGGACCGTTCGCGTTTGGCGGCGTGGTCCCAGCGGCGGACATCTTCCCGAAACGGTGATCCTCTCGCGATACACCAATTTTGACTTAGCTTGTCTTCTTGGAGTATTAGTGTCACCCGGACTTGTCGCGGTTCAGGAAACACGCGGCTCCGATTTATGCTTGCTCTTGGACCTTCTCATGATTCGTCAGAGTCACAGGCAGTATGTGCGTTCATTACAAATGGACGTGACGGTCACTGGATAATTATCCACTTCACTATTGACACTACCAAATTTCCAAGTTCGAATGTATAAACAAAATGTTATAACATCTGGAGAGAGAGGTTGTAATCTCTTATGAGGCGAGAGAATTGCCCGAAGAACGACCGCCTCTGTTTCCGCAGGTACTAAATTCTGAAAGCCCACATTGGCGATTCTCTCCCTCCCTTTTTATCTCTTTCTCTCTCTCGCGCGCACGTCGCGACACGTCACTGATTAATTTCGAAACAATTCTCGAGAAGCGGCACGTGACAACGTCTGAATTGGAGCAGATACGCGTTGTAAAGAGCTCCGATGCCCATTGAAGATCGCTGTCAGGTGGGTTCGCGCGACCGTTCTCCAGGTCGCTCAGGTAACACCCACTAGGCCAGGCGGCGCGCTGACGTTCTTCCACGTCGTGGGGATATCACGCGAGGCCGCTGTTGCCTGGATCGTATCGGATAGCAAACTGGTTTCGTTTACAAGCCGGCATCTCGGCACCGGCCCTACCCAGCATGATACGTTTGTACGCCCGTTGCAACCGGGCTGTCTCGCTGGCGCTCTAGACCTACCTCTACCTCTCTGTCTCGCTACTTCCACCACCGTCCGATCTTACCGTAGAGGTAGAAGCAAGAAAAGAGACGGCGATAGATGGCATCGGGGGGTCCAATGCACAGACCACGCCTACCAAGTACACCGGGATTGGCCGGATCCCATCCACGTAGCCATGGTAACCTTTCTTCGTCCTTCCGTTAGGCAGCATAGGGAGCTACGGTTGTGTCGGTTAATTATCCCTTCCACGTATAGCCGGGCCGGTTATATGATCCCCACCGTGAACGTTCTTCCACCACTATCATCGCCCGCGGGCATCTCTCACGCCTTCCCCTCTCTGACAGGCGGAAAGGAAGTGAGACGAAGAAAGAGAGACAGAGAGAGAGAGAGAGAGCGATCGATGTACCTTGCAAAATGTGGGACGGAGAGGTTGGTAGCTGTTCGCGATCGTAGAGGGGAGAAACGACATGATCCCATGAGCTGCTGCTGTTCCTGCCGCCGTGACGCCACTGCTGCTGTTGCTTCTGTTGCTGTGATCTCGCGACGAACTGTTTTCGACGTTGGACTCGGTACCCAAGTGATAGCTGGATAAGATTGATAGGCTGCCAACCATCCGCTCTCAGACTAGCACGTTTACGTATTTCGCTTACTTTTAATTTATTCTTTAGTGCGAATTTCTCGATGTTTCGTTCACTGATTTTGCTCTTTCGTTCAATTATTATATTCAAACTGGTAGATATTTTATCTGATATCACTATGACTTCTTGTATGACGATTCACAGAGGACATTTCGTTATTACAAATTAACGAATTAATTATCAGAAACAATCCTCTATTTTTATCACTTCAGAAATGAGTTATAGTTAAAAAAATAAAAATATTTAATATTTTCGTATTGATCAGAAAGAGAATATTCAACTCTTTCAAAATGCAGCCTCGTTAAGATGGCACGGCCATTGTTAAAGTATGACATTCAACTTTCGTATGAAGAAGCCTTATATTTATAATCGAGTAGATCTCATACCTCAGACAGAGCGGCGACAGAAGTTAGCGTATTGAAGAATCGAGGGCGCGCGACGGCGCCGAAGGCATCTCCGTTTTATCGAACGCGCAGCCATCACAGAAGTCTTAGTCCTGTAGTAGATATTCTGATTTTATTCTACTTCTCGTTTCAATGCAACCTAGCGAATTTCATTTTAAATCTACAATCCATATACGTGAATTCTAATAATTTGTTATATGTACGAACTGGTATGCAGAAAATCCACAACTAGATCACAAATAAGAAAATTGTCCTAAAGTAGTTTAAAGGTTACCTGGAAACTTTTTTATAAGAAGTTTGAACTTTAAGAGCGTAACTGAGATTGTAATAACTTTTATCATAGAAACTTAAACTTATTTTTTAAATAAAAATTATATATAATTTTAAAAATATTCGTATTTAAAAAATTTAATATTTGGATCTTTTCAATTTATTAAAATATATATATTCGTGCTCCTGTTATTCAAATTGAAAGCGAGTACCATATAATATCTCTTGATGACACATTTCGGTGCGAATAATAATCACTTCAGGGTTTAATGTATCCACAAGCAACGAGCGCGATTGTTAAATCTCTTGATCGATTTGTAATAACGAAAAAGTAAACGTGGTTTCACCGTGGCGGATGACTCCTTCCGATTGCTCTCGTTTATGTTACCTCAACGACCGTTCCGTTACACGACCGGCAACCGACAACGACTGCGATTGGTCAGGGTTAAATCGGATTACGGGACGAGCGGGATTATCTCGAGTTTTTCGAAAGACACATCTATCCGTGATTATCGTAGTTCATGGGATGTGTTTTCGTATTTTCTCCCGTCACGATCCGTCATTCATCCGTCTATATTCGACGTATGTTGTTCCTAAATCTGTAGTATTTTAAAAAGACTTAATATTTATTTTAATACTGGCAATAACATTCTCCTATTATCTATTTTATCTGAAATTTCATTGAGACCACAGTTTATGTCTATTGAATTTATATTCTATTCTTTTTTTGTTATATATTTTTTTTATTTTTGTTCTATTTTGTTGTGCATTTCACTAAAAAGTTTATTATTGTCTTTCATAAATTAATATTGTGAATGTTCTGAATAGATTTTTTCCTACTTCAGCATGCGTCTATTGCAAACATCGATGTGATTGAAAATATTTTATTACGTGTGTCAACCACGCGGTTTTTTTTTTAAACTCGCATGTTACACTTATTCCATATTTAGAGAGTGCAGTTTATTTGCATGGTCATAACTACATATTGGTGGATCTATATCGCGAGTCATCAGTATAGTGTCGCGTTTCAGTAGAGATTTATCAACAATATTCGAAGTATCGAAAATTGTAACGCTGCGAAGGATCAGGTATGACATTTCGAGCAAATCTGAACTAAATAAAATAATAATTATTGAACTTAATCCAGAGACAATGTTGTTTGAACTATGTTGTTTGATAATATATAAATAATTTAAATTAATATTTTTCTGATATATATATATATATATA